AAAAAAAAAAAAAAAAAAAAAAAAAAAAAAAAAAAGAGTGTGGTGCTGATAATACCAAAGTCCAGAGTTCAAACCCTTTACAAGCCAGCAGCAAAAAAAAAAAAAAAAGTATTGGGCTTCTTTTATGCACCATGTATTGTGCTAGGTGCTAGATATGTAAAAATGAATATGACACAGTCTCCTTGCCATCAAAAATCATATGGCAATCCAGCGGGGGTATACTGACACATAAACAGATAGTTATAATGACATCTGCTAAGTGATGTGATGGAGCTTGCTTAGAAAATACAAAAGCTAGTCATCCAATTTCTCTTGGGTTAAAACTCAAAACAAAGAACCTAACTAAAGTACTGGAACACCTAGAAATTTTTTAAGAAAAAAATAATAATCATAAATTCTGTATAATTTATGAGAGCTGCTACGGCATGAGTAAAGATCTCTACTTTTTACATTAAATTCAGGTTGGAAATTGGTCATGCTTTGTGTTAATATGTGAGTAACCATCTCTATCAACTAATGAAAGTTCGTTAATTCATTTGTCTCTGGATTTCTACAACTATGACTTAGAAATTGAAGACTGTGCCGCACTCATCCAATGTAGATGGAGCCTAAACAACCTCACACAAGCCACAAACTTCCAACCAGAAAAGCAGAGGGACAAATACTGCCCTTTAGCATGGGTCTGCTCACCTGGCATGAACAGGCAAGCAGAATACCTGCCAGCAAAGGCTAATTTATTACTGTCCAGGAGCCTTAGAGAATGCTTTGTAGATGACAAGAGATGCTGCAAAACAAGAGTATTATAAAGAAAAAGTTAATAGAGAAAATAAAAGCAATCTACAAATTAACAAACTGGAAAATGCCCTGCTATGGCAGCTGGATTAGTGTTAGAACAAATGAGACACGAAGCCCCAGAGACACCTCCTGGGGCATTGTTCTGTCCCACAGAGCTCTCTTCTCAGTCTTGTGCCCTGCTTTGTGAATCTGCTGACTAAAAGGAGCTCTGGACCACCAAAAATGGCTTAGGATGAAGAAAATATGAGCCTTTAGAAAAGATTCAGTTTAAAGCAATTACAGAAGGTTAAAAAAAATGCAAGTGAATGCTGAAAATCACATCTTCATAAAAATAGCTAGAAGTGGTGTTTTGACAAATAAGAACATTGCAACTGTCAACACCCATTTATTAATGCTCATCAATAAATATTAACCCATTAAACTTTTTAACTCCATTTTTATGAAAATGTGAGGTTAAAACCCTGTGATAAATGACATGAAATAAGAGTATATTCTTAAGTTATCTTCTCTAAACCATTGTAAACAGAGGGATGGAGAGTGGTAAGGAATAAATCTATCCACACAGCTCTGGAGCATTGATTTATAAAAAACAGGATAAACATATCTAACAAATCATAAAATTAAGCTCTTGGTAAAAACTTATAGCTAATGGACTAAACTAAAGACATATTAGAGTAAATGGTGTGAAAATGATTTTTATGAACTAATAGATATAGCGTTTTAAATGGAGTTCAAATTGAGTTCATCTTAAATTTTGAGTCATTAAACCATGTGGCATTTTATATCTTCTCATATTAGCTTAAACTCTGAAGACTGGAGTTTAAAAACCTAAAAACTGTAGAAATAATGCAAATGTGACATTTGAGGGGGAAATCACTTTTCTTTTACTCTTGTAGATATTAGAAGAAATTTGTCAGAAAAACAACTGGGGACAACCAGTGTACCAGCTGCACTCTGCCATCGGACAAGACCAAAGACAACTATTCCTGTACAAAATAACCATTCCTGCTCTGGCCAACCAGAATCCTGCCATGTGGGTAACTTCTCCAAATTCCTAATCATTTACATTTTAGCATAAGATTCATTTGTACATTAAGTGTATTTGGTCACTATATAAACAAGGTAAATACTCCAGTTTACTATGGACTCATTTGTCATTAAATGCAAAGGTTGAGATTGTGTAGTTGAAATGTGTGTGCTGGCTATGAGGCTGGCTTCTGAAAGCCCCCAAATTTCATATACACAATGCAGACTGTGTATATAATCAACCAATGAAAAACAGCAGGTAGTGTAAAATGTATTAGAAATGAAAACTATAGTGCATTCTTGTATCTGTGCTGTATTTAGGTTGTACCATATGAAACTGCCATTTTTATACGTAATAATACCATGCCCCATCATTTAATTTTTGGACCAACAGTATGATCTCTCAGTTAGTGGATATCACCTTCTGAATTTTGCCTTGAGCCTGAATTTCTATACATTTTAGAAACCATTTTGTTTCATATATACCTTAAAAAGCCATATAGTGAGTTATAGGTGTGTTTCAGAAATGTCATCAACCACCAATGTTCTAGGTTAATTCACAAATATTCCTACGTGCACACACAAAGGTATTTCAAAAAGTTCATGAAAAAATAGAATTAAAAAAAATAATGCAAATCTTTTCATAATCTTTTTGAAGACCCCTAATATATTTAGAAGCTTTCATAGCAACAAGAATGAAAAATACTCACACAAAATTCCACCATCTAATGTCTTAAAAAGCTGACAGAGCCTTAGGTTTTCACCCAACTCAGTAGCACAAGTTTAAACATGCCTGTCCTGACTATGCTTTCCAGCCACCCTTTCACACCTCCAAAGCTAAGTGCTTATGTGGATGAAGCAAAGACATATGCGGCCGAATACACCCTGCAGACCCTGGGCATCCCCACTGATGGCGGTGACGCTGGGACCGCAGCTGCTGCTGCTGCCACTGCCTTCCCAGGTATGGGAACTGTGCCAGAAATGGCACCCTGCAGAGAGCGTTTGGGAAACTCTTCTTGGTACCACGAACTCGTAGAATTGATGGCAAATTCCACCTACAGTAAATCCAATTTGCACCATCTGTGGACCAAGAACAGTTTTCCAGATGAGTGAACCTTGAAAGCATGAGGCAAGAAAACTGAGCAGAGCAGAGGAAGTAGGTTTGAGTCCCAGCTCAGCTTTAAGCAACTGTGTGATCTTGAAGGAGTCAGTCTCTGAGCCTGGTTTATTTGGGCTTCATTTGGTTTTTACTTTTAGAGAGAGTTTGGGACAATCTATTAATAGCTGGTGTTTATTTGAACTCTTATGTGCTAGGCACTCCCCTAAATGCTGAAAACCTTTATACGATATCAGGAATGCTCGTGACACCACTAAGAGTTAGGTTTGATCATAATGCCCATTACACGGATGAAGAAACCGAGTACTGGAAAGAGTAAGTAATTTGGTCAGTGTCAGTTAGCTTTTAAGCAGTCCTTGAATTCATGCCCCAATTCTAATAGCATTCTACTTTTATTACTTTGCTTTTGTGTAGATCACATTTTTAAAAAATTAAGCTAAAAATTGTGTGTGAGTGTGTGTGTGTGTGTGTGTGTGTGAGAGAGAGAGAGAGAGAGAGAGATCCTTTCAATATGTAAATAATCAGGTCTCAGTGGATCTGTTCTATAATTTTGGTCTGGAGCATATGCTGGTTTCTTAAGATAAAGCCTATCTGTAGATCAACATGCCTTCAGGGGTCACAGGGGTCCACAACAAATGCTAATAATTAAAAATGAATCCTCTGGGCCGGCCCCGTGACTCACTCAGGAGAGTGCGGCGCTGGTAGTGCCGAGGCCACGGGTTCAGATCCTACATAGGGATGGCCGGTGCGTTCACTGGCTGAGCGTGGTGCAGACGACACCATGCCGAAGGTTGTGATCCCCTTACAGGTCAAAAAAAAAAAAGAAAGAAAAAAAAAATGAATCCTCTAAGATTCATTTAATCTAAGATTAAAGGGGCCAGGCAAGAAACTTTCTGGAAATTTTTTCTCAGCAGTTAGAGTAACTCCATTCTTTCTCTGTAATAAAAAATTTATTTCTTTAAAGAAATTTGTCATTCTGACATTGTGTCAGCATGCCCCCCAAATCCAAATTAGAGAGTCTGACTAGACCTATAAATAGGACATTCCTATCAATTGAGTAATTCATATATTGACCATGTATAGGTGTGAGAACTTCTATATTCCTCACATCCCAACATCTGGGGTTTGCTCTCATTTTCTTTTATTCCTTAAAAAATCTGAATATATACTCCATTCTGGCAAGTGAAGCTAAAGCTAATCATGCTTCACACATGATTGTGACCTTAATTCTAGCTTTGTTTCTGGGTAAGAACATAAAGACGCTCTGCAGTGAGTCACTTCAGGGTTACCAAGGTAACAGCTGACACTATACAGAGCAAGGTCCTCCCTGGGCCATCAGCCCCTGTGTTTGCTTCCCATAAAGCAGGGTGTTTATAAGCTACTCGGGACCTATGCTGGGGCTTCGCAGCTCTTGGAGAAAGTTGAGCCCCTGTCGTGCAAAAAGCTGCACCCCAAAGACACCTATCTAACATACTGTAAAAGCAAATGAGTCACTGTCAGGGGCATTTTAAAGTTTTCTTTCACTTTCGAAAGGATTTGCTTTTACCCAAGAATGTTTTATCTTTTCCTCACTTCTATTTGCTCTTGTAAGAAGTTAAAAATATTTAGGGCATGAGAATTGTCTTGGGAATGCCTAAGAATTTGAGAGCCTCTCTTATATCTTTGCTGTGAGTCAAATAAAAAATAATAGGCTCCAAGGGAAGAATCTGTGTAAAAAACTATGCCCTTACACTTAGGAAATTAGCCAAATTGAAAAGGAAAATTCAAAGATCCTTAAAAATAAAATCTGTGCTACACACACACACGCACACACACACAGAGAGAGAGAGACCATTTACTTACTCACTTACTTTAAAAATACTATTTCCTAAATTATGAAAGTAATTGTTAACACATTTCTCATATCCTTGGAAAATGTACCAAACTTCACTAGTACATTAGTCAGCATTACTGCCCAAAGTGAACGAGCCAAGGAGTAGATTCAACTTAAAAAAAAAAAAAAAAAAATTGCCCAGCCAGCTTCCTGCTACCACTTCCTGAGAAGTCACCAGAAAAAAAATCAATGTGTCTGGGGCTGGGCAGACTTGCACCGCACATAAACCAAATGTGCTTTTTTATTAAATCAGGTCCCCATTAGTTTAAGTATACTTCTTCCTTTTTCTTGTTGTCTTTCACAATTTTTGGATCATCTCAGAAATACCCAGGTTTTGGTCTAAAACATTAAGAGGGAAATATTGTTTTTGGATAGTGGCTATTACAACCTCTTGTTCAAAAGCAAAGGTTCATGAGCTAGACATAATGCCAACGTGAGAGCATGTGGGTGATTTCCTTCTCACGCAAACTCTTTGGTTCTCTGAGGGCAAGGACCAGTATCAAGGCCTCTGAATTCACCGAGGACAGGGTTGATAGTGGGGTGAGAAGAAGGTGTTTTTGCTCTTCACAGTTAGGTCTAGACATGGAGTATGGAGGAGACAGGCATTCGTTTGTATGATGTTATGCAGATACGCACTAAAACTTTACAGTATTTCTCCTACTAGTCTATCCAGTCTCCACACATTCTTCTTGGATGAAGGCAATGAATTTTAACATTTATTTAGACAGGTGTGGGGATGCAACAGAACCAGACCCACAGAGTCCACTCCATGCCCTGCCAACTCCTCAATAACCTCCCCTCCTTTATAGATTCTGAGACTCTCTGAAAAAAGTTCTAAATCCCAAGATTTAATCAACTTAGTGTCCTGTCAAGCTTCAGTTTCTAATTCAGTTTCTAATTCTCTTAGTGTGAGGTGATTCTGACACAGGGGATCAACCCTACTTTGAGGAACACTGTCCTAGGACTTTTCAAATGCCATTTAAAGATCACTGAGTCCAAATATTGTGTCCCCTGAGAGCACCTTTTAAAATGTACGTGTTAACTTTTACCTTCAAGCAATATATTAAATGTTCATATTCCTGAAAGAAGACAATAAGCCAGAAGGGAGCTAATCTGAATCCCCTTCATAAAGTTTTCTCTGCTTTCTCCTCTAGGATATGCTGTCCCTAATGCAACTGTACCTGTGTCTGCAGCCCAGCTCAAGCAAGCAGTGACCCTTGGACAAGACCTGGCAGCATACACAACCTATGAGGTCTACCCCACTTTTGCAGTGACTGCCCGAGGAGATGGATATGGAGCCTTCTGAAGATATCTTTCTTTTAATTTAAGAATAACACACATGAAACTCTATATAGAACTAGTAAACCTCAACTCAGTCTCCTAATGATTATAAGTAATACCTTTCCTAAAGCAATGCCTTTCCTGAGACTGTGTAGCTTATACAGCCTGCAGAATCGTGAAATGAGAACATTATTCCTAAATGAAATCAAATGTTAAAGAGCCTTTTGTTTAACAGAAAGCCGAAGAGCCATTGCCCCCAAAAGTTGGTCTTCCAAGGTTCCTGAGTGTCCTGGGAGTATGTTTACAAACTCTGACAGAGTAGAGAGAGATCTTCTGACAAGAGTTGGGGCTAAGCAGACCTAGGCAGTCAGTAACAACAAAGGATAGCCAAGTCAACTCCAGAGACTTAAGCCCCTGCTCACAGCTGCTTTTGTGATACACAAAGTCACCAGGAGGCAAAAGGAAGGTAGAAGGATGTTTTTCCAAATTCATGCACCATTGCCCACTGTGTGGGGCATGATTGCAGGCCCAAGCTCAGGAAAGACTGTCCAAGACCGTATAAATTCAACCTCGCTTCAGTCTGAAAATTCCATCCAGTCAATTTGTCATAGATTGGGATTTTCCTATCCCCTGCAGCCCCGGGGGAATTCCTAGAAATTGATATGATGTGTTGCAGATATGGTTAAAGCAAATCCAGGCCCCATTATTCATTCAACTCATTGGCGCACACCGATTCATGCCTAGAATTCCTACCCATCCCAAAGATCCCCACAACATAAGAATCATGCCAACATGAAATGACTTTTTCTCATTTAAAAAATTTTGACTTATCCACACTGATTTATTTTTCATCTCAGACTCATTTTGTCCAATATCATAAAAAAGTAGATCAGATCTACAGAATATCATTTATGGTACTTTTTCTTATTCAGCAAAAGGGCTGAAAAGTCATTTCAAACAGCTAAATGAAGATTCGCTCTTATTTCTTTGATCTTTTTGCAGCACCCATGCCACCATCCACATTCAGAGACAGTTTTATTAACTTGGGGTTTGCCTTGGATTATCTAACCCACTTTTATTAAATCTACTAAGAATTTCTCTACCTTCCCTTCTTCTTACTTTCAGTAAGTATCAGGCAGCTTTATCATACCTGAGTCCTTTTGTCTTGAAGCTGTCACAGGAAAACCTTCCACTCATCACTGCTGATTAGAAGCTGTTTGTTCAGACACACAGCAAGGGTGTTATTTCACGAAATCTCCTACAGTACAGTCTTGGGCCTCTTCTCCAGAAATATCTGATGGTGGTGGGTGCTACAAAACCTGCCATGGGTTTTGCCATACTTGTAAATGATTACTTTTGCTTAAAACAGAAATAATCAAAGTCCAACACCAAATGCCTATTACTACTACTCTGACCTCATTAGTGGTTTAAGACATACAGTACTAGAATCTCCATTTTTAAAAAAAACCTTGGCCCTTGTGAATTCTACAGGACTCAAGGCAAAACCTAAACGCAAAGACACAGAAAATTTTGTCAACTCCTTAATGGAATTCTGTGAGCCAAAATCAGGCCAGATTCCAATCAAAATCTGGTAAATTACAATCAGAATCTAAAGTCCTTGTAACCTTTCAGTTCTACTGACTCTAATCAAATGTCAAAGGCCTCAAAGCTACCCCTGAAACTCTGAAAGACCCTGTGCTTTCTGTTTTACTTTTGGTTTCTCATATTCCCAAGGACAGTAATTCCCAAACTGGCTGCACACTAGAAACACCTGGAGAGCTTTTAAAAATGCTATTGCCAAGATCACACCTCATACCAATTCCACCAGAATGTCTTGGAGTGGGAACCTGGCATCAGTATATTCCAAAGATCCCTAGGTGATTTCAATGTGCAGCTAAGTTTGGGAACTGTTACAGTCTTTATATTTCGATTACATCCATTAATTTTTTTTTCTTTTTTCTTTTACTTCTATTAAATAGAAAAATGCAAGAAATAATTGTCTAAGTTAAATAGCCAAATCATATTTTTATTTTTATTCATCTCATAAACAGTATGAATTTGAATAAAATTCATATTGGCTTCAAACTAACTCTTAGGTCAAACTCTAAAAGTGAGAAAGTAAAAAATCCACCTAAAGCAATTCTTAGATCCAAATTTGCATTCCCCCACAGACCTGCTTTTATTCTCAAAAAGAATAATTACATTGACATAGCAAATGTCTGTTGGGGCAGGCAAATTTCTACTCAGCCCAAAAGAGCATTCCAAATTCTAAGAGAAAAAGTTTTGATTTTCCTTAAAATCTTTGAAAATAAATAGAAGAGGGGCCGGCCCGTGGCTCACTCGGTAGAGTGCGGTGCTGATAACACCAAGGCCACGGGTTCGGATCCCATATAGGGATGGCCGGTCAGCTCACTGGGAGAGGCTGGTGCTGACAACACCAAGTCGAGGGTTAAGATCCCCTTACCGGTCATCTTTTTTTTTTTTTTTGCCTTTTTCCGTGTCTGGCATCGGATCGCAACCCTCAGTGTTGCCCCCGTACTGGACCGGGGACCGGCAACGGGACTGCAACCCTCGGCGTTGCTCCCGCGCCTCACTCAGCCAGTGAGCGGGAACCGGTCTGTATGTGGGATCCGAACCCTCGGGCGGGAGCGCCGCCGCGCTTCCCAAGCGGCGCACTATCCAGTGCGCCACCGGGCCGGCCCTACCGGTCATCTTTTAAAAAGAAAAGAAAAGAAATAGAAGAGGGTGCATGTCTAGTCAATTCAAAATGGAAGGTTTGGTCCAGAAAATTTTTAAGGTTAATCAAAATGAAAAGATAGTTATTATAAGAATCTCCTTATGGGAAAAAATCATGATTCTGGGCAAAGTTGTAATCACATTTTTAAAAGATTGAGAGCACAGACCTAAACAAACCTACAGTAATACCTAAGTGTCAAGAAAATTACTACTGGAACACTATCTCTTTACTTTTGAGGAAAGATAAATATTCATGACATTTAACTCCTTAGGACTGATTTTATACAAGTGGGTAGATGCGGTCTTATTTTTCTGCTGAAATGTTACCTCATTCTAGTAAAGTCTAGAGAATACTTTGAATTCATTAGAATGTAGTTATAGAAAGTGTCAATGTGTCTACCATGCCATATGTTTGTTCTTGCTGTTCTCAAGTGAAGTAATGTAGAGCTAGTTCTGCTATGATGAGTTTGAAACTATTAAGAAAATGAGCTTTTTAAAATCATGTGTAGAACCAAAGGTTAATTCTGCACAAAGTTTATGTTTTCAGACTTAAGAAATTAGCACCTATTTAATACCTTCATGCTTCTGTATCACTATCCATTTTTCTATTTCTTACTTGACTGCTTCCTAATTCTCCATAGAAAAAATTAAAATCAGCCAACCATGATAGTAATAAAAACCCAAACCAATAATTTAGAAACATTTAGTACATTAGAATTGGCTTTCTAAATTTGATTAGTTAATAGCTTATTAATGATATTGGGTGTCTATTTTCTTACGTGTAAAATGTTGCCTCTTCTCAATACCTCATATTCATATATTCTTCTAATATAGCTGGAAGAGCACCTTTGACTGCAACAAAATATAATTCTCCAAGATGACTAGTTTGCCCCTTCCCCAACCTGATATCATGCCAAACCATACTGTGTTTGGGTAACAGCACCCAAAATGGTGTTAGAAAGCTACCCCGTGTTAGGAAAATTCTGACTTCAAAAAAATATCTAATATACTGTCCAGCCAGGAGGAAAAAAAAAAAGGTATCTAACAAAAGAGGACCTATTTCCAAACCATAGTTCCTCAACTATTTAAAGGTGGGATGGAGATTAACGTAGCTATGTGTCCATAATAGCTATGTAGGAAATTTATTTTAGTCTGACCTAAATTTCTTTGAAAACACACACACATTCTTCTAATAACATAGATTAACTTTTCATAAATATTACATCAATATACTTTTCAATTTACATTCATTTCCAGTATATTTTAAATGACTCTGTTTTATGATTCTGTCTTGGACCACAACTAGCGTCCATGTAGACAGGGAGATTCTCCAGGGTGCTATTAGTAGAATGAGTCAATAAAGAAAGTTAATATTTTGAGTGAATTTTCTTTGCATTCAAAGCTACAAACTTTGATAGTTTACTACTGTTGAGCAACTTCAGCCCTATCAAATATTTCCTAAAAGGAACTTACAACTAAAAGTGAAAATGTGCCCGAATGTCCACGTAAGGCAATGATCTTGAATCCTCCCCTTGCATTCATATAAATTTACCAGGGGGTGAAAATATTTCTAAAAATTAACCTAGAGACTTGGCACTTTTTATATTTTGTAGATACATATTCAAATATTGTAAATATATCTATTAAAGGTAAAATTAATTTTTGAATAAAACACTGTAATGGAATTTTGGGATAAATACTTTAAAAAGAAAATATTAATAGCATAACTTAGAAATTTTTATGAACTTATTGAAAAACAGAGACAAACTAGGCAAAAATATTCCCACCTGGCATGTAACTATTGTCACCTGGGTTTTGTTAAACTGATTGTCAAATTTGATGCTGAAATTTTACTATATTCCTATAACAGCTTGAAAATGCTCTGAGTTTTACTGGAACATGTTCATAGAAAGTGTAAGGTATCCACCAGTATTTATGTTTGTATTTGCCAATGTTAGAACAAAACAAAGCAAGTACTGCTATAAAGAATGAAACTATTGAGAAAAAGAGATTTTTCTGACCCCATACCCTATTTCTTTACTTATGGAGTAAAATACTTAAGCATTTTTTTTTGTTAAATAAAAAATGGGTACAGAATATTTTATTGCCCCTCAAATGTCCAACATATTAAAAGCCAGCTTTTTCTTACAATACTTATGCAGAAAGTAGAAGGCACAGATATAATATAGGTGGCAATGCATATCTTGAAAACATCCATTCATTTATGGGAGAGTGCAAACTTTATGTGTCCCTTGTTCTCCTCAGTTTCATAGGAAAGATAAAGTAAAA